CGACAGACAACTCCATAATGCCCTGGAGATAACAGACAATTTTAGCTCACAGGAAGAAACAAGAGATAGTGGTTCAAACAAATGGCCTCAGAAATGTTTCTGAGGAAAAAAAGGTAATGGAACTAACTGAAAAACAATCCAAAAGAATGATATTTAGGTGCCTGATAAGAATAGGAAGAAAGTCAAAGAAAGCAAGGGGAACGCACACACAAAACTTTATGATAATTAAGGAAAACACTAAAAGAACAGACAGACAAAATAAATGCAAACTTTAAAATAATACAAAATCTGCAATTAGAAATTCAGAAGATTAATAGTAAGATTTCAGACATGGATTTTACATTGAAAGAGCAAAGGAGCAGAACAGAAACAATGGAAGTCCAAATTAATGAGTTTGAAGATAAAGCTCTCAATACTAGTATGCTAGAAGAACAACCTGAAAGTAGAAAGAAAAAATCCAAAGAAAACCTAAGAGTTATGTGAAACACCATGAAGAGGAACAATTTACAGGTGATTGGAATTCCAGAATAGGGAGAGACAATAACATAGAGAAAATTGTTGAAGAGTTGTTGGAAGAAAACTGTCCTAACATCATGAAAGATTAAAAGATAAGCACAAAAGAAGCTGAACAAACCCCAAATAGGATAGATCTCAAAAGAAAATCACTAAGACATACCATAATCAAACTTTCCAAAACCAAAGACAAGGAAAGAATCCTGCGAGTAGCTAGGAAAAACAAAAAGTTACCTACAAAGAAGAACCAATAACACTAATTTCTGATTTCTCAGCAAAAAACATGCAGGCAAGAAGGCAATGGGGATGACATGCACAAAAATCTGAAAGAAAAAAAATGCCAACCAAGAATCATATACCCAGCAAAACAATAAAATTAGGGCATTTTCTGCTAAAGAGAAAGACTTTGTAATAACCAGACCAACTTTACAAAAACTTCTAAAGGTTGTTCTTTGGACTGAGAATCAACAACAGCAAACAACAACATGAGATTACCTTATATGAAAACATCACCTGAAAGTATTCCAAATATAGAAGAAGTACTAAAAAAAAAAAAAAAAACCAAAGAAGCAGAGATTTCAATTTATAATTAAATCAATCACAAAGCAAAAATAAAGAATAGTGTAGATATAGAACTTCCAAATGGCTAGGAATTCAAGTCAATTTCAAGATAAAACAGTCACTCCAAAGACTGTTTCAAATATGGAAAAATTAATACACTATACGGTAACCTCAAGGAAAATCAATACATCTGCATATCAAAATAAAAAAAGAAGAAAAAAAGAGTTTTATTAGTAAACAGTAACACAACAGAAATGAATAAAATGGAAACAAAATCCAAACAAAATGAATTCAGCCCAGAAAATTACGTGCAACAAAGAAACCAGAGGCACCTCAAAAAACACACAGAGCAAAATATAAGCAATCAGTTAATACCTATCAATAATTATACTGAATGTTAATGGATTAAATGCACCCAGTCAGGAGACAAGAGAGCAGACTGGATTAAAAAAACAGGTTCCTTCATTATGGAATCTACAAGAGACACATCTGAAAGATAGACAAACACCCAACAACAGAAGAATGGTTAAACAAACTTTGGTACATACACACCATGCAATATTGTGCAACACTGAAGAATAACAATGACTCTGCAAAACACCTCACAACATAAATAAACCTGAAGGACATAAGGCTGAATGAAATCTGTCAATCACAAAAGGACAAATATTATATGAGGCCAATGTTTTATAAAATTAAGAATAGAAATAATCAAGAATAGTTATTTATGGGAAAGAGGGAGAAGGAAAATTATTCATGGACTACAGGGCAGGTAATATACAGTAAGAAGGAAGTTGAGAGGAAAGATGAAGGTAGTGGGAGATACAGGGAGGAATGAAATAGTTAAATTGAATTGTTGTTGTTAGAGGTAAAATAATGTTAACTGTCGAACTCCTGGTGTGGAGCTGTAGGATCAGCATCGGACAGTGAATCACAAAGTTATCGGTTTAAACACACCAACCACTCCTCGGAAACTCTATATAGAGTTGCTATGACGCGATGGCATTTGGCAACAATGTTAACTGTTGGAACATGGATGGAATTGCAATCATTGTAATGAAGCAAAGTACATGATACTTACGATCTGCTCTGTAAACCTTCACACAATTCATAATAGAAAGTATAAAAAAAGAACAGAAAACCAGATACTGGAGGGGGAAAAAAAGTCTTAAAATAGAGAACCCAAGGTGTCAATATGTAAATGATGGAAGTTATACAGCAAAATGAAGGAATAAATGGTATAATTATAGAACTTCCAAATGAAGAGGAAGTCAGGACGATATCAAGATACAACAGGGTAACCACAAAGAAAAGTAATAAACTTTATAACCAAAATAAGATCTTGTATTTTGAGGGCTTTCCTATCTAGGAGCTCATTTTCTAGTACTGTATCAGACAATGCTCTGTTGTTGATCATCAGGCCCTTCTTCCTATTCTGTCTTACTCTAAAACTCCACTGAAACCTGTCTATAGTTAGAGTGAATTGTTGTTGTTAGAGGTAAAATAATGTTAACTGTAGTGATCTTCTGGTATTCTAAATACCTGTGGCACAACTTTCAGCATCCTAAGCTACATGCAAGCCACCCACAGTAAGATAAATTGTAAGTGATAGAAAGATCATTGCTGTCCTTGAAAATAATACAACCTGACTATTTTGAAAGTTCATTTCTCAAGTAAGTTTACAAAATGCAAAGACAGGAAAAGTTCTCAGTTGTGGTGCATATACTGTGAATTTCAGCCTTTGATTTTTTTTTTCTAAACGTATAGGGCAATTATGATTATTAGCATAACATTTTTAAGATACTTTAATAACAACCTATAACTTTTAGTCATTACAAGATCAACTTAGACAAAGTTTTAAATGCAAGAAACGAAAATTTAAACGACAATACTGTGTACCAGATATGTCCATTAAATAAACTGGTAACCTGTATATAGACCAAGAAGCAGTCTTTCAAACAGAACAAAGGGATATTGTGTGTTTTCAAATTAGAGAAGGTGTACATGAGGGGTGTATCCCTTCACCATTACTTGTTCAACCTAGATGCTGAGCAATTAACTGGAGAAGCTGGGATATATTAATACAACATCAGGAAAGTGAAGAGGACTTGAAGCACTTAATGATAAAGATCAAAGATAACAGTCTTTAGTATGGATTACAGCTCTAAATTAAAAAAAAAAAATGCTCACAACTGGAACAATGAGCAACATCATAATAAAGAAATAAGAGACAGACATTATCCAAGATTTTATTTCACTTGGTTCCACAATCAACTGTCATGGAAGCAGCAGTCACAAAATCAAATGACATATTGTACTGCATAGGTAAAATCTGCTACAAAAGACCTTTTTAAAAGTTCCAAAAGTATCACTGATGACTAAGGTGTGCCTGATATAAACCATGGTATTTTCAATTGCCTCAAGCATAGAAAAGCTGGAGAATGATACAGAAAACCCAAAATCTGATATTATGAATTACGGTATTGGCAAAAATGTTCACTATACTATGGACTGCCAGAAGAGCATACAAATCTACATTAGAAGAAGTACAAATAGAAAGCTCCTAAGAAGCAAGGATACCAAAACTTCATTTCATGTACTTCGGATACATTATAAGGAGGGAGTCCCTTGTATCAGTCCTTGGATAAGGATATCATGCTTAGTAAAGCAAAGGTTCAGTGAAAAATAGGTAGACCTTCAACGAGATGGATTGACACAGTGGCAGCAGCAATGGACTTGAACATAGAAAAACTGTAAAAATGGTTCAGATCTAGGTAGTGTTTTGCTCTGTTGTATTCAGAGTTGCTATGAATCAGAAGTGATTTAATGGCACCTAACAACAAAATAGCTCATTTATAAGGCAATATGATATCAAAAGTTTAAAGAGTAGGTCTACAATCAAGTACTTTAGTTTTGTCTCTTTATCCTACCTCACAGGACTATGTGAAAATTAAGTGAATTGTTACATAATATAATATAAAGTGTATTGTTAACACAATACTCAAAATACATTAAGAAAAAAAAAAAGGATCAGCATTTCTATTACTGTATAAAGCACTGCTGTTATTGCTGTTTGCCGATGAGTTGGTTCCGACTGATTCCAAGGAGTGGCTGGTGAGTTTGAACAACCAACACTGTGGTTAGTAGTCTAGTGCTAATCTGACAGCACCACACCAGGACTCTATATAAAGCATTAACAACCCTATTTATTTTAAAACCAGACATTTCTGCTATATTACTTAAATATGTTTATTTTAAATAGTACTGAAAGAGTTAACACGTAGGCAATTCAAACACATCCTGAAGAATAATTACACTAAGGTGTAAGAAAAAGCCCTAGATGAGCTCAGGATTATAAAACACTTGCCATCTATAATAAGATGCTATGGACTGAAAACTAACAGCAATTTCAATTTTGAGCCTAAACTGAAAGTAACAAAACTTTTTTGTGAGCTACTTCATTACACATGGGTATATCTGTGTTATGTATCAAGTTGACTCTGTCTCACAGTGTTTCTATACAACAGAGTAGAACTACCCTATAAAGCTTTGTACACTGTAATCTATATGGAAACAGATTGCCAGGTCTTTTCTCCTACAGAGGTGCTGACTGGTTCAAACCACCAACCTTTCAGATGGTATATTACATCACCAGGGAACTTGGTAAATTTGAAGCACTCTAAAGGGAGTTGTGAAGTGCTGTTGAGTCAATTCCAACTTATGGCAACCTAGTACAGGGTTTCCAAGGCTATAAATCTTTTCAGGCACAGAAAGCTTCATCTTTCGCCTGTGGAGAAGATGGTGAGCTCAAACTGTTGACCCTGTGGTTAGCAATCCATGCTTATTCTACAGTCACCATGCTCCTAAAGGGAGTAGCTGCAGGGATTGATTTATTTAATTCTGAAAGGCAATGAGATCATATTTACCTGTGATAAAACGATCTAACGGTATCACAGGAGCGACATGAGGTGTTGCTTGCGTAACAAGAAGACTAATCAGATCTTGCTTAAAATTTTTCAGTGTGAGCAACGCTCTGGCTACCAGGCCACCCATAGAATGACCAATTATTGCCACACTTTTTGGAGCAAATTCTTGACCCTAATTAAAAAAAAAAAATCATCAATTAAAAAAAATCACAAAGGCACAATTAAGGCTTAGTATCATAAGGGCTAAATAGTGCTATCTACATACAACCAATTTTAGAGAAAAACAAAAACAATTTACATAACCTCTCATCTTAAGGTGTAGAAATACACTTTCACATTGCTATAGTGTATGTATATTCTATTACAGCTCCCCCAAAAGTTTGATAAGATCCTCCACTGAAATAACATAGCTCTAGTTTTTTTAAAGTGTTATTAAGGTTTCTTAACTTTTTATTGTGAATTAAGTGGTTTCAGAGGAGATCATCAGTTTACATTCAACAAATCACTTTGTTTCATCATAATGATTGCAATCCTCTCCATGCAGCAACTATTAGGCCACTTCTTCCCTGTAGTTCCTATTTCCATTCCACCCTCTTCTTCCCATTCCTTAACTTTGACCTTAGGTACATGGTGCCTTTTGATCTTGAATGACTGATCACTCCAAGGTGAGTATACCTTCCTAGTGTTGTTGTCCCTCTATAGACCTATCTACTACTTGGCTGAGAATTGGGGCACGAGGGTGAGTTCCATTCCAGACCTGAAGAGTAGTGAAGGGACATAATCTTGGGTCCCTCCAGAGTCTTTTTGACCTGTAAGCCTGGTTTGTTTTATAATTTTGTGTTTTGTTTTGTGGTAAGGTTTTTAATTACAAACTTGAGTTTTAAATACAGATCTAAGAATACTCAGATTTTGTTTCTTCTATCTTGTATTTTGTGTTCTTCAAGGAATTTGTATATTTCATTTGAGTTGACTTTATTGGCCTAAGTTGTTCGCAATATTCATCTATCATTGTCATAATATCTGAATGCTCTACAGTAACGTCTTTTTCATTCAAAATTTGGTTCATTTATATTTCCCACTTGGTTTTTAATATTAAAGCTAGGGCTTTGTCAACTTTATAAATCTTTAAGGATCAGTCTTTGGTTTCATGATCTCTACTATTTGTACATATTATATTTCACTGATTTATACTGTTTTATTATTATATGGTGTGAGGTATGAATCTTACTTCATTTTTCTGTAAATGGGCATGCAGTTTTGTTGAAGAGACTATCTTTTCCCTTTCATTGATTTTGGCCCTTTGTTGAACATCAGTTGTCCAGAGAAGGATGAATTTACTTCCAGGTTTTCAGTTCTGTTCTGTTGGTCTAGGTGTCTATGTGTAGCACTGGGCTCTTCTGGCTACTTTAACTATACAGTAGGTTATGGAACCAGGAAGTATGAGACCTCCTACTTGGCTCTTTTTCTTCAGTAGTGCTTTGCTCCTCTGGGGTGTCTCTCCTTTCCACATAAAACCGGTGATTTTCGTTTTTCCATCTCTTTAAAGAACGTTGATGGAATCTGGATCAGGAGTGCATCATTATATGTTTAGATAACTTACAGTGTTAAGTCTTCCTATCCAGGAGCATGCTTTGTTCTTCCAATTATGTAGGTCTCTTTTGCCTTCTTAGTGTTTTATACTTAGTCTTTTACATCCCTGGTTATATTATTCCTAAATTATCTCATCCTGGTGTGGCACTGCATGATAAGCACTGGACTGCAAGGTCGATTTCAACTTCAATGGTCAATAATTCAAATCCACCAGCTGCTCCTTGGAAACCCTATACAGGGTCACTATGAGTCACTATGACTTGATGGAACTAATAACTTTTCATTTTTCAACTTTTGGTTTTGTTTTCCTAATTTCCTTTTCAGAGTTCCTTTGTTAGTATAGAGCAATCCAACTGATTTTTGTTATGTTGATCTTACACCCCAGGGATACTTTGTGAATTTATCAGTTTCAATAGCTTTCTTTTTAAAACTTTTTGTTGTGTTTATTTATTGGGAATATTTTAATTACCTCTTCAATTTCTTCTTTTATGATGAGTTTGTTTAAATTTTCTACCCAGTCTGTGTTAGTTTAAATGTTATTGCTATTATTAAGTGGGCTTTATTTATTGGCAATTTTTAATTACCTCTTCAATTTCTTTTGTTATAAGTTTGTTTAGTTTAAATGTTATTGCTGTTAAGTACCATCAAATTGGTTCCGACCCATAGCAATGGTATATAATAGGGTTTCAGAGGAATGGTGAGCTTGACCTGGCAACCTTGTAGTTCAAACTGACTTTGCAGCCCAGCACATTAACCCACAGCGCCATACCAGGACTCAGTAACTTTATAGGTTGCTTGTTTCTAAAAATTTACCCATTTATTCTAGATTTTCAAATTTGTGGGAGTACAGCTCTTCATAGTACTATTAATATTTCAATTGCATAGTTGTATTATCACCCATTTCATTTTTTGTTATTAGCATCTTCACCCTCTTTTCATCTAATTTGACAAATGATTTGTAAATTTTATTAATCCTTTTAATGAACCAACTTTCTAGTCTTATTCTTTTTATTCTATTTCATTTTTTCTGTACTAATCTATGTATTCTGGTGATGCTAGAAGGTTTTTGCTACTCTTTCTAATTGTTGGGAGTTGTAAGGCTAAGGTTTTGATTTTGGCTCTTTCTTCCTTTTTGATGTGTGCGTTTACTGCTATAAGTTGATTCCTTAGCACCTCTTTTGCTTTATGCCAAACTTTTGGTAAGTTGTGCTTTCATTCTCATCTGATTCTAGGAATTTATTTCATTTTTTGTTTCTTCTATTACCAAGTGATTTTTAAGTAGGATGCTATTCAGTTTCCAAGTATTTAATTTTTGTTCCTAGTTTTTTCTTGTTGTTTTTTATGATCTCATCATCATCCAAAAAGACACTGTGTAGTAATTTGAAGTTTTATATTTTATCTTTACTTGCTTTGTAGATACATGTTGTTATTGTTTTTAAGTGCTGTCGAACCGGTTCCGACCCATAGCGACCCTGTATATAGAGTTTCCAAGGAGCAGCTGGTGAGCTTGAACTGCCAACCTTGCAGTTTGGCACATTAACCCACAGCGCCACACTAGGGCTCCCTATCTATGGTTTATTCTGGAGAAGGATCCATGTACACTGGAAAAGACTGTGCACTGTGTTGTTGTTGGGTAGAGTGTTGTGTTTTTGTCTGTGAAATCAAACTGGTTGACTATATTGTTTAGGTCTTTTCTATTTTGCTGAGTTAGTTGTTCTGTCCATCAAAAGTGATGTGTTCAAGTCTCCTATTATTATTGTGGAGCTGTCTACTTCTCTTTTCAATTATGCTAAAGCTAGTTTTATGTATTTTTGAGCATTCATTGAGCACACAGATACTATGGTTATGTTTTCTTGTTGGATTGACTCTTCAATATTATAGAATATGCTTTTTTGTCTCTTATGATTTTTTTGCCTTAAAATCTCATCAGATACTAATATTGCCACTCTTACTCTTTTTGTTGCTATTGTTTCCTTGATACATTGTTTTACATCCTTTGATTTTTTGTTTATTTTAATCTTTGTGTCTAAGGTGAGTTTCTTGTAGACAATATATAAATGGATCATGTGTTTTTTTAAAATCCATTCTGCAGCTGTTTCCTCGCTCATGCATTTAATGTAATGTACATGTACATTCAGTATAATTACTGGTAGATATAAATTTACTGCTTTATCTTGTTGTGCTTTGTTTTGGTGATGACTTCTTTGTTCCAAATACTTCTCTGTCATGAGTTCTTGCTTATGGATTTTACTGCTGCTGATTTTATGTTTAATTAGTCCTCATGTTCTATACTAAGGGTTTCTGGTAGCGTAGTGGTTACGAATCAGGCTGCGAACCTCAAGGTCAGCAGTTTGAAACTACCAGCTGTTCTGTGGGAGAAAGATGAGGCTTTCTGCTCTGTAAAGAGTTACAGCCTCGGAAACCCTGTACAGGGTTGCTATGAGTCAGAACCGACTCTATGGCACATAACAACAACAACAATAACTACATTATTCCCTCTTTTTGTTCAGAAATTGTAGCAATTTACATACTGATGTCTCTATTTTTCTATGTTCGATCGATCTTGTAGCTTTAATGTATTTTTGAGAATTCTTTTATCTGGGTTGGTTTCCCAGTGATGTTATTACATGTTTTAACTAAGGTTTTTGTCTGACATTGTTAATTCTCTGTCTGAAGTATTCCCTTTAGAATCTGTTGGTTTAGGTTTTACAGATTCTTTCCTTCCTATTCTGAAATTCTCATATTTTATTCCTCTTGATGGTACCCCACATAACTCTTAGGCTTTCTCTTCATTCCTTTTTTGTTGATTCTTCTTCTAACAAATAGGTATCAAGGGATTTGTCCTCTATTTCCCTGATTCTCACTTCCATTGATCCAATTCTACTCTTTTGTCCTTGCAATGCATTATCTATTTCTGAAATTCTAGTTGATCTCCTAGATTCCTAGCTGACGTTTTTGTACGGTTTCAAATTGTTATTTTGTCTTGTATTTTTTTTTTTCTAGAGTTTTGTCTGTGTTTTCCTTGATCTCTTTGAGGGTGCTATATATTCTTTTGAATTTATTAGGTAGTTCCATTACCATTTCTCCCTAAGGTTGTTTTTGGTTACTTATTTTGGTCACTTGCTGGCATTATCTTGTCATATCTCTTTAGGTTACATGATATTATCTTTTTATCAACCATGCAAGCTAGCAAGGCTCCTCTTTTGTTCTCTGTTTTCAGTCATTTATCCTTCCATTTGAAGCTAAGGGCTCAGGGATTGTCATCTGTATCTGTTTCACTTAGCTACTCAAGTCATTAATGTAAAAGGATAGTGTGGTGTATTTGGCTAAGCCACCATTTTGGCTAGAAGTATACTTTTTTCCCCCAGTCCTTTTCCTAAATTCACCATAAGAAAGGTTTCTTTAAATTCAATTTAAATTTTAAACATCAACACTGATTTCAAAACAACAAACTCTCATACACAAAAAAATTAAGTTATCTTTGCTTCAATTTCCATTTAAATAAACAAAGATTTAAGTATACTGATTTACATTTTTATCTTTTACCTTGTAGAGTTTCAGAATCGTTTTAATGCATTCATGTACAAACTTGGTCTGCTTTTGAAGACTTCCACCATATAGCGCCACCAGTTCTTCATTGAAGTTCACACTAAAGAAGTCAAAGTGGTACTTGAAGTCAATGTCTTCTGCTTTTCTAAGTGCTATAGAGCCAACAGAACGAACTGCAGAGGAAATGGGTGAAATGCAAATTAAGCAAGAAATTTTATAGTTTTATCTATTCTTACTTAAAGGTTTCCAATAAATAACGTTCTCTCTCACCCTGGGTATAAATAATATTATTTAAAGGTGACATCTTTTAATGGTACCAAGAAGAACAAACTAACCTAGAAGTTATATGTCTTGTGCAGAGTTAAGAGTGGCCTAAATATTTTAAAAATAAAATTAAATGAAAAGTGATAAAGTTACTCATTTTTAACCTGATTCCTCTTCAGAAACAAGTAATAATAAATATAAAGAGAATCCTTTAAAGAATGAAAAATAGAAAATTTCTCACTTAATTGAGTATAAGAATGAGAAGGTTCCCAAAGAAATATTTACTCATCAATTGGTTTAGATTGTTATGCTTAATTTTTATCTCTTTATTTATATTTACATCTCTTTATTTCAAATATGACATTAATCCTGCCTTCCTCTACCTTCCAAACATATCAGCAATGAAGATTTCTCACCATTTTCACCACACCCTATCTAATCAAAACATCATAATTTCCTGCCTAAAAAACTCCTAACTGGTGTCCTCTAGGGCCCTAGTGGCACTATGGGCTAAGCAGTGGGCTGCTAACCGCAAGGTCCATGTTTCCAACCTACCAGCCACTCTATGGGAGACAGATGAGGCTGTCTGCTTCTGTGTCTGAAACCTAAAGGAGCAGTTCTACTCTGCCTTCTGGAGGGTCGCAACGAAACAGAAAGGACTCAATGACAATAGGTGTAGTTTGGGGGTTCAGTTTCCTTATTTCCATTCCTTTTTGTTATTGTTGTAAACCCTTTAAATAGATTTTACTGTGAATTATAGTGAAAGGCATAAAAACTACAATGTCTGTTTAAGCAAACAAATACCTCTATTTTGTCATTTCACTTCTTTCAACATAGATTAACCCACATACTGGAGTCCTGGTATGGTACTGTGGATTAATGCACTGGACTGCAAAGTCACTGCAAAGTCAGTGGTTCAAGCTCCTCAGAAACCCTATTACAGGGTTGCTATGGCTTGGAATTGACTTGACAGCACTTAACAACACCACCCACAAACTATATAATTCATATATTTTACAAATCACTCAGCAAACTGCAAAAATCCAATGGCTTTCATTATGTTCACAGAGTTATGCAACTAACACCACAACCGATTTTAAAACATTTATCACTCCAAAAAGAAACTCTGGACTCATTAACAATCATTCCCAATTCTCCCTTCTCCCTAGGTTCTGGCAACCACTCATCTACTTGCTGTCTTCCTGGATTTGCCTATTCTGGACAGTTCACATACATGGAGTAATATATGTGGTATGTGTTACCGATCCTATCACTTAGCAAAATGTTTTTAAGCTTCATCCATGTTACAGTTTTGGCTGCACAGTATTGCCATGAACATTAGTATACATATTTTTAAATGTAGTTGTTGTTCTTAAGTTCTGTTGAGTCGGTTCCAACTCATACTGACCCTATATAAGGTTTCCAAGGCCTTAAATATTCGTGAGAGCATAAAGTCTCATCTTTCTCCCATAGATGGCTGGCTCGAACTGTGGATGCATAAAATCACCTACAAATGGAATTACTATGTCATATGGTAACTCTGTGCTTAACATTCTGAGGAACCACCAAATTATGTTACAAAGCATTGTGTAAGGGTTCCAATTTTTCTACATCATCACCAACACTTGTTATTATCTTATTTTTTTATTACAATAACTCCAGTTGCCATGAAGTGGTATTACACTGTGGTATTAATTTGCATTTTCCTAATGACCAATGATGTTGATTAAGGAACTCTGGTAGCATAGTGGTTACAAATCGGGCTACAGTATGAAACTATCAGCTGTTCTGCTGGACAAAGATGAGGCTTTCTGCTACCGTAAAGATATACAGCCTCAGAAACCCTGTATAGGGTCACTATGAGTCGGAACCTACTCATAGCACATAACAACAACAACAAATGATGTTGATTATCATTCCTGTTTCCACTTTTAACCCCATACAAGTATGTTCTCTATATAATATAACCGGAGTGATCATCTTTTAAAAGTAAATCACAACCTACTAGAACAGTGAAGATTTTTAAACTGGTAATTACTACATTGACAAGAAATTTGAACAAAGGGAAATATAATGTATTACTCTGGGAGTACAAACTAGAACAACCAGATACACATAAACTACAACGTGGAATACCAGTCCCAGGTATGCATCTTACACAAATGTAGACTTATGTGTATTAGTACACAGGCAAAAGAATGTTTAGTATTCATAACTGGCAAAAAATGTAATCAATCCAAATGTCCAAGGACAATAAAGTGGATTAACTATGCTATATTCATACAATGGAATGACACAGAATGATGAAAGTGAACTAAACATAGTTCACACAAACTTGGATGAATTTTAAAAAACATCACTGAGTAAAAGAAGCCGAACACAAAAGAATATAAACTGAAAAATGATTATATTTATATAACAAAGATTTAAAACAGCACAAAATAACTAGATTATAGTGGGGATGCATAGTTTGGTGTTAAACAATACAGAAAGACAAAGTTAGAACTATGCTTACCTCTAGGAAGAAGGGAGGGAGTTGTAACCATAAAGGAACATATGGGAGGTTCCCAGTGTGCTAATAATCTTCGACTTCTTCTATAATCAGTACTTCAGATTCGCTTTTCTATACCCCTCCCCCGCCCCATTGTTTTCAACAAAAACTCTCTCTTCTGCTGATTCTTGAATTCCTGTATGATCCATTTATCTCACCCCACTACATCTTATTTTCTCTCAGAAAAAAATCATATATTTGTATCCTTCAGGATGCCCAATATAGTACCTAACAGAGTATGAACGCATTTAACAAATTAGTGAATAGAATGCAATAGCTTTCATATTTTACTTCCAATATTTACCTTGTTTATAACTTCCAGCATTACCAGGAAGAAAGAGAACTGGAATCCCTGTCAAAGGCAGAATTTTATGTTCTTCAGCATAGGATCCTTCTCCATAAAGGTACAACTCATATGCCGGGTAGCGTTTTGCCAGTTTCTTTGGAAGTTCTATTTTCTACAGTAGAAAAGTTTCACTTTAATTGGTTTTATGTACACAATACAGCTTCATTTTATTCAATTCTTATATATACAAATTTGAAGTGATACACAATAAAGATAGTACTGATGATAAAATTGAACTTAACGCACAAAACAATAATTTCAACATATTATAAATTAAATATTATATCATTCACCCTAAGTTTGTTGTTGTCAAATGTCTTTGAGTCGGTTCTGACCCATAGCGACCTTGTATAGAACTTCTTAGGTGCAGCTAGTGAACCTGAACCTAAATCCTGTAGTTCAAATTGACTTTGCAATTCAGCACATTAACCCACAGCACCACACCAGGCCTTCTTTCCCAAAGTAGTTGTTTATAAAAGCAGTGACACAGTATAAAGTGTCCTGCTATTTTTTTGAGGGATAAAAATCATTAAATGTGAAACCAATTATGGTGAACAGATTTAATTCAAGGATTACAATAGAGTTAATAACCTAGCCATGCTGTACATATACATGTAAAATTTTAAAAATTTAATTACTGAATAAATTTCAAAAATTGCAAATGTTTTTAATGGTTATTGAAAAACTCAACTGTTCCAAAAAACAGAATTCTGATTATTCATGCACATTCTCTAATATCCCTCCAAGGATATAGTACCATAAACAATCTGTCCAATAGTATCATAGAAAACATTTTTAGAGACTATGGACTTATGGTTTAAGAGATCAGCAACTTCTGTTATCTCTTCAAATACTCACTCACTCCACTATTTGCTATATCATCTATATGTACTTCAACTCAAATTAGTCTCAATATTGATTATGTACAGCATGACTGAAAAATGACAGTGATACAATATTTCATTTCTTATATATAAATTAAAGAAAAGGAAAAAGTGATATAACCAAAGTTTCTTGATTTCTTTCGATTTAGCCTACCATCTGATATGAAAGTACATCCATGTTAGATCACCAGTCCTTTCAGTACAGTAGCTAAAGAACTAGTTAAAAATTAACTCAGAAAAGGAAAGCTATCAAACATAGCTAAAAAGAAACATTTCGTTCTTTTTAAAGACACTGAGGAGCACTGGTGGCACAGTGGTTAAGCACTCAGCTGCTATCTAACAGGTTGGTGGTTAGAACCCACCAGTCACTGCAGGGGAGAGAGCTGTGGTAGTTAGCTTCCATAAAGACTGTTGTTAAGTGCCATCGAGTCGATTACGACCCATAGAGACCCTTTGTAGGGTTTCCAAGGAGCACCTGATGAGCTTGAACCACAGACCTTGCAGTTCAAACGACTTTGCAATATGACACATTAGCCCACAGTGCCACACCAGGACTCCTCTATAAAGATTAGAACCTTGGAAACCCTATGGAGCAGAGTTCTACTGTGTCCTGCAGGGTTGCTATGAGTTGGAATCTACTCAATGGCAGTGGGCTTTGGTTTTTGAAGACATAAAAAAAAAAGAAAAAGAATATGATGTTATTATAAAAGCAATCTGGTTGAAACAGAAAATTAAAATTTTTTAAAATATATGAATGCATATAATATGGCATAGGAAAAAAAATGTATATACATGGAAAAGAGATGTAGAACAAAAAAAGGGGAGGCAAGGATGGTGGAGTTGTAGGCACATGGCAAAAGCGCACTTCTAGAGTTCAAGCTAGGGGTGTGCGGTGGGAAAGATAATTGACCAAACTGTGGTGTGGGCGTATAAAAAGAATACTAGAAAGAAAACAGAAGAGGATGATCAAAAAGTTAAAAAGAAAACAATAGGACTCAAGTACAAAATTTGACTGATTATTTGATAGCCCAAAATAGGCAATGGCATCAAGTTGGTTCTGTGCCATAGTGAGCCCACGTGCTACAGAACAGAACTGTTGTTGATTTTAAGTGCTGCTTGCTGATTTGATTCCGACTCATAGTGACCCTGTCAGTGTTTCTGAGGAGTGACTGGTGAGCTTGAACCAACAACCTTGCAACTAGCAGTCTAGTACTTATGCTATATAGCACCACACCAGGAACTCACAGAGTAGAACTAGTCTAATATTTTCTTGGCTGTAATCTTTACGAAGGTCCCAAGGTGGCCCAAATGGCTGCACTCTACTAGTAACCTAAAAGTCGGTGGTCTGAACCCACTGAGCAGTTCTACACAAGAAAGGCCTGAAATCTACTTCCATTTCGATTACATGAGTCAGAACAGACCTGACAGCAACTGGTAATCTTTATGGAAGCTTAATTCTAGACCTATCTGTTATGGAGTTTGGGGGTGGGGGTGGGGGGTGGGACTTAAAACTTTTAAGTTCTAGGTTAGTTGCTATTGTTGCTGCTAAGTGCTATCAAGTTGCTTCTGACTCTTAGCCACCTTGTATAGGGTTTCCAGAGTGGTGGGTGGGTTTGAATCAACAAACAACCTTTCAGTTAGCAATACAATACTTATCAATACAGCACTACAAAACATTTGTGTCACCCAGGGATTATTTTACATTAGTATTTCTACCTAAAAAGCACTTAAAACTAAAAACTAAAACGAATTACACATAAATATTTTCTCCACAACTTTTTTTTACACATATTGTCTCCACACCTCTGACCCTGCTGTCCATCTCCCTTGAACTTTAATATCGATCCTCTTCAGTTTGAGAAAAGACAGAATTAACTAACTGACTCTTTTAGACTATACTCTTTCTCTGTCTCCCTGTTACAAACCATAGTCCCTTTTTTAGCATAGTCCCCTATTGCTATCAAAAAACTACTCTAAGATACACTTTGTGTGTTTCCACATTAACTAGAAATTTTTAAAGGCCTGCCCTGAGGTGTTAATGTGCCAGAGACTGCAAAGCCGTTTGAACTGCAAGGTAAGGTAGGCGGTTCAAGCTCACCAGTTTAGAACCCTTAGAAACCCTATACAGGGCTATTATGGGTTGGAATTGACTCGACAGCACTTCACAACAATAACAAAACAGACATTTTAGGGAGCTCCTCAAGGTCAGCAGTTCGAAACTACCAGCTGTTCCGCAGGAGAAAGATGAGGCTATCTGCTCCCGTAAAGATTTACAGCCTGTACAGGGTCCCTATGAGTCGGAACCAACTCCACAGCACATAACCACCACGAGATACATATTTTAAACCTAGCTCTAATTAATTGCCTTTTTACTGTCATCAACTTATTTCTGACTCATAGTGACCCTGTATAGGGTTTTCAAGGCTGTAAATCTTTCGGGAGTAGAAAGTCTCATCTTTCCTGCACAAAGCAGCTGGTGGGTTTGAATTGCTGAACTTATAGTTAGCTGCCCAATGCTTATTCTACAGTGCCACCTGGGCTCCTACTTCTTTATAATTTCATACATACATTTTAAAATCCAAACATTTCAAAAGTTAAAGATTTAAAGGGTATACTCGCTGAACAGGACATTTCCTTCAGCCATCCAGTTCCCCTTCCTCAGAAGGTAAACCAGTATCATTAGTGTTTTTGTTTAAAGAAATATTTTACAGACATACAAATGTTTACAGATAATTTTCTCCCTTTTACATAATAGTAACATACTATACGTACTGCTCATGCAGTGTGTCCTGCCTGGTGCCTTCTCACCTCCACATGCTGTTCTTTATACCTCAAATTCTCCTGTTTCTACACTTGATGAACTATAAACCCTTCTAGGGCCCAATGCACTACACCTTCTCTATAGCCCTTGAATACCCAAGACAAACTAGTATGCTTTCTCTTTTGTACTGAGGTTTGTACATATTTTATTACACTGGCATTATCACACTACCATATTGTATTTTAACTATCCATTATATTCCTGTATCCCTCATTATACTCTGATGACAGAAACTAAAGTCCCTGAGGTCTGATTTATCTCTACTTCCCTCTCGCCCATACTGAGTATCTAGACTACCCTTGCATAGAATAGCCATTCAATAAAGGACTTCCTAAATTAACATCACATTTAGTAACAAAATATATGATTCACATTTTTAGTATCAGAATTTACTTTCAGAAGAATCTGTTAATCACATATCAATGGATAGCCAAATAAAATTACTATATGGGAGAAAAACAACTCATACATTTCTTCTTGAGTTCTACAGCTTGCCTAAAATTGTTGCCATATAAAAGCTTTGCCTTGTTATCATTAAGGCAAAAATCATTAAAAAATAATGTGCATTCTTGCCTAGCAGGTTTGAGATATGTTCCTGAAATGTTCTGTTATCTCTGAATAAGTCAATCTAGTAAAACCAGAGCTAGACAATAAATAGAGAAAAATAATTTAAATTTCAAAACTTCATTTTTGCAAGAAGTTTCAAATTCTTGCACCACCTTTAATAGATGAGAATAAAATTTAATGAGTATCAACTACCTTTCATTTCCTATGCTGCTATCCTCCTAGAGAAAAAGGAGAACACTAAGGTCATAACCACATGCTGGTTATCAATCTGTTAATAATTAGAAAGCTGACCATAAATATAAGTAAGTGCAAGCAACATATAAAATATTTTTAGAGCATTTTAATCATGTAAATCATTTGGTTCGTAAAAAAATGTCTTCAGTTATTCAGAAACTCACTTATACTCAAATGATTCATTTCCTAAAACAGGCTTTAATTTTATTTCTAAAATAATACAACCTGGCATGCAAAATAAAAGGAATAACACTGAAATATAAATATTACAGTGAATTAATGTTACAATTATTTGTATTATAATAAAATCTAAGGGAAATGGTGGGTTAGCTAGTTTTGGGTTTCTGTTTACAGGGATGGAATATATGACAAAAGTAATGATTGTACAGCATGACTGATATAATTATAGTACAAGTGAAAAAATGAGCAAATGCTGTGTTATCTATATTTTTTACAACAACAAAAACCTTCCATTAACTATTACTGAACTAACAATTATTAAAAGCAATATAAAACTCCAGGTGATCAATTTCAGTAACTGAGTAAATACAGAACAAATGGCTATTCTGTATTTGTTGTTGTTTTAAGTGCCATCGAGTTGGTTCCGACCGATAGCGACCCTGGATAGGGTTTCCGAGGAGTAGCCGGTGAGTTTGAACCGCCAACCTTTTGTTTTTCAGGTCAGTTTTATGAGGTAGGAAATCATCTGTAAGTCCATATGACTTGTTCCCTATATTCAGGAAAGTAATTTTTACTACTATAACCATTAAAATAGCTTTAGTAATTGTGGGCAATCTAAAAATAAACCAACTAGTACTGTCTAATACCATACTAATTTTACCCAAACTCTTCAATATAGTACAAAACTAAAATGACCTACTACACTGGGAGTTTCCAAATTACTAAACCATAAAAAACAAAAGATGGCCTAAAAGGGGAATACTTTAAGTTTACAAAAAAAAAACAACGAAAATCCAAGCATTTTACTGAAAAACATAAACCAGCACATCCCAGTGTATTTGCTGAGAAATTAAAAGGCAATAATAATACATTATAATCAATTCTTCAGTCTCATCTGATATAAAATGTTTCCACTGTCTTATAACCAATGATGCCAAACTAAGGTAAGAATGACACAACAAATGGAATTTAAATCTACTGGAATTATACCCACAGAAAAGGATGTTTTTCATTGTATATTTTAAATCTTATGTAGTTTTAAGACCCCAATGACTTGCACACAGAAAACAACTCGACTCGCATTCTTCACCCCACAAGCAAAAATAAGGGGAAAGAAATCTGCTAAGATTTAAAAAGCATATTAAGAGTGCATTTTATAAATAGGTCATATATATATAATTTTTATGATAGGGAGTTCTCATTGTAAGACCCATTTCGTAATTAAGAGACACATTTTAAAATAATCATTCTGAAGCAATTTATTTGGACAGTTGTGTAGTTTGTCACCACCTCTTTTGACGGCTGGTTATGAATGAAATGATGAAACCATTTAATTGAAAATAGAAAGATACGGGAGGGGAAGCAGGAGGGGAGAGACAGCGCGGGAGGGAAAGGACAGGAAGGACCAGGTTTCTGTTCAACTGTAAACACAGTGAGAAACCAAAAATAACACCATGAAACTGATTTTGTATGCAACACGCGACAGGCATAACACGCACGCACAGACTGAGATCCTACACAACACAAGGATCCACAAAATCCTTCCAGAAAGGAGTCTGAAGAGTTTCCTATTTAATTACTCATCAGGTGAACCTTAGCCAGAAAGAAAACCTAGAGCCTCTCCGCCAGCCGTGGGAAGTATCACAGCCAACACAGAGTCTGCAGGCGCTCGATCGCTTTCTAGAAGAGCGAAAGCTGATGTGCGAATCACTAGGCGGGAGGGCTAGGACCTGGGCACCCAGGAAAAGGGTCCAGGGCACCTGTAAGGCAGGAAGCCGGGAGGGTGAGTTTGGGGAGAGATAGAATGTTAAGGTTACCTCTCCGGGCCCTGCCAGTCCGGAGAGCCTGTGATCACTCGGCTTTGAGGCCGGTGCGGGACGAAGAGACAGAGTAACTATGAGGACGGGTAGGGGGGATGCTCCGCGAACCACCTATCAAACGCCAGATCATGAACAGAGGACACAAAGGGCAGGTGAGGGGGCGCTGGGGGTCTGCAGAGTCTTCCCGAGCGGAGAAAACAGGCGGGGTCAGGATAAAGTGGCCGGAGAGGCGCGGGGTGCCAAAGGAGCGGAATCCACATTAGGACCAGGCAGGAGTCTCGAGCGCCCAGGTGAGGAGGAAAGGGCGGAATCTTACCTGATACTCCGGGTATTCGAACATGTAGCTCATACTACACTTGTTCTCTTCAAAGCCGAAGAAAACATCCCACAGCCCCAGGGTCGCCATGAAGACCATGAAAACATAAAACGCCAGGTTCCAGAGGTTGACTGAGTGAAGAAACATGGTGCCGCCGCCGCGGGGCCCCAGAGCCCAGACTAATTCAGAGAAGCACTGAATGCCGGCACCCGAGCGGAGCCCGAGCAGCACACGCCTGCGCGGACACTCAGCTAGGTCGCGCGCCTGCCGCGCAGTGCGCCTGCGCGGCCCACACCGCCGGCCCACACAGCCTCCCACCTCAGTCTCTTGGAATGGAGGGGAGGAAGTAGTGTTTACTGCGGGAGCGTGAATCTGAAAGGGGAGAGGGCTGGAGAGAAGAAAACAGAGTGGGCTGGGCTGGAGGATGAAAGGAAAAATGGTTGGGGGTGAGGAAAGGGAAACGGAGGAAAGCGGAGGGAAAAGAAAGAGGGGGAGTGGGCGGAGCGCGGGAGCGCCTGGGGCAAGGAGAGGGGCGGGCCGGGCCAAGTGGGCGCTCGAGGGGCAGGTCGGGTGGGTTCGCCCGGGGAGGCGAGAAACTCATCCTATAACCTAGAGGCAGTTAATGATCGTCAGCCGAACAGGAGGAGGGACGTCAGAGTCGGGGGACTATCAGTTGTCACATCGCAAACACCTCGCCTTGCAGCCGTTGTACAAACCTTTCCCGTGCAATTCCGAAAAGCCTCAGACCTGGGGCAAGTTCGCCTCTTGCAGAGGTATCAGCACTTTCACAGCTCTAGACCAGTTAGCTTGAGGAGGAACAAAAGGCTTTTTCTCTCTTTACCCACTTAGGTTCATTTCTTCTCAGTCATTGAAAAAAAGAAAAATCTGTATCACCTGTAGCTCTTGCTGTGTCTTGTTGACTAATGTTCCTAAAGGTGTGATCTCTATATATATCCACTGACCCTCAGCTTGAGGACTAAGATGCGCCTGACCATGGTACTTTCAATAACGTCATATGCATGCGAAAGCTGGGCAGTGACTGAATAAGGAAAACCGTAGAAGAATTGATGCTTTTGAGTTACGGTGTTGGAAGAGAATATTGTAAGTGTCATGGGCTGCCAAAAGAACCATTTTGGAATAAGTGCAGCCAGAGTGCTCTTTGGAGGCCAAGATGGCCAAACTTCATCTCTCATACTTCGGACATATTGTCAAGAGGGACCTACCACTTGCTAGAAAAGGATATCATGTTTGGTAGGGTGGAGGGCCAGAGATAAAGAGGAAGACCCCCAGCGAGATGGATTGGCAAAGTGGCAGCATCAATGGGCTCAGGCATGGCAACAATTGTGAGGTCCCAGGACCGGACAGTGTTTCATTCTGTTGTGCATAGGATTGCTATGAGTCAGTACCAACTCTATGGCACCTAACAACAACAACAACCACACTGACTCTTGTGAAGTGTTGTTGAGTCAGTCCGGACTCAAAGAGACCATGTATGTACAAGGTTTTCAATGAGCGCCTGGTGGGTTTGAACTATATAGTTTGTGGTCAGCAGTCCATTGCTTATCCTATAGTACCACACTCACACTTAAACACACTATGATTTTGTTATCCTTCTCCACACACACCAATGAAACGTTTCTTGCAAGGATAGGAAAAGATCTAACTACCTAAATCCAATTGACACTTTTCATTCTTACTTGATCTTTCTGCTACATTTACTTCTCCCTCCTAAAAATTCTCTTCCTTTCTCTTTAACATAATTTTCCGCTGGATTTTCTCTCCTCATCTGGCTTCTCAGTTTCGATCCCATGTAATATATTTCTCCTTTCATCCCTTAAATGTTTTTAGTCTCAGTCATCTTTCAGACTTCTCAACATAGTATCTTTTAATGACTCCTCAGTGGTTAGACTTTTGCCAAAGCTCTCTTTATTGCAAGAATCAGAAACTCAACTCAAAAAGGGAATTTATTGTAAAATAAATCTCAGGGATCCAGAATAAACTGACAAGTCAGGACAAGTTGTACCAACTCCCTAAAGGCCACTCCCAATACCAAATCTAAGCACCTTATACAACTGCTCTCTTGTCAGTTAATTTCAGATTCCTGATTGAAATTTACAGGAGTCAGGCCTCTTAATAGTCTAGATTACCCTTTTAAACCAGATCTCACATATCACAGAATAAAAGTACTGGAAGCGTAAACTAGAACCAGAATAATGGAAGTCAGACAATGTATTTTATACATTAAATAATTATGTTGTAAGGTACCGTCAAATCAATTCCAACCCAGACAGACCCTTTACATAACAAAAGGAAATACAGTCCCATCCTGTGCAATCCTCACAGTTGTCATACATGATTACTACTGTAATCCATTTTGTTGGGGATCTTCCTCTTTTTTGCTGAGCCTCCACTTTACCAAGTATGATGTCCTTCTCCAGAGACTGGTCCCACCTGATAAGATGTCAAAAGTGTCAGAGAGGAAGTCTTGCCATCCTGACTTCTAAAAAAGCATTCTGACTGTACTTTTTCCAACAAAGTTTGTTCTTCTGACAGTCCATGGTACTTTCAATATCCTTCTCCAACACTATGATTCAAACACATCAGTTCTTCTGTGGTCTTCCTTATTCATTGTCTTAACTTTCACATACAAATGAGGTATTTTTGAAATAACATGACTTGGGTTAGGCATACCTTAATCCTCAAATTGGTATCTTTGTTCTTGAACACTTTGAAGAGATTTTGCATAATGCAATACGTCATTTGATTTCTTGGCCGATGCTTGCATGAGCCACAACTCTTCTGTCTGTTGTACTGTGGTGGTTTGCTTGTTGCTGCGATGCTGAAAGCTTACCAGTGGGGTCACCCGTGGCAGACAGGCTTCAGCTGAGCTTTCATACAGACTGACTATAAAGGAGAGACAGACCACTCCTGAATGTTTAGCTACTGAAAACCTTATGAATAGCAGTGGTACAATGTCAACACCAAAATTTTGAATATTGAAACATGTTGAAGAGCACCAGAATATTGTCTGTTAAAGTGCTGGAAGATGGGCCCCTAGGTTGGAAGGCACTCAAAATACGACTGGGGAAGAGCTGCCTCTGCCTCAAAGTAGAGTTGACCATGATGAGGTGGATGGAGTAAAACCTCAGGACCTTCATTTGGTGATGGGGGGAACAATTCAAAATGAGGGGAAACAGTTGTAAACATTACTAATGGGAACTTGGACTGTATAAAATACGAATCTAGGAAAATTGGAAGTTATTGAAAATGAAATGGAACGCACAAACACCAACTCTTCAGCATTAGTGAGATGAAATTGGATTGATATTGGTCAATTTGAATCAGACAATCATATGGTTCATTATGCTGGGAGTGACAAATTGAAGATGAATGGTGTTGTATGAATCATCAAAAAGAACATTTCAGGATCTAACTTGAAGTACAATGCTGTCTGTGATAGGATAATATCCGACAAGTTCTCCTGGTATGGTGCTGTAGGATCAGCACTGGATTTTGAACCACAAGATCGGCAGTTCAAAACCACCAGCTACTCCTCTGAAACCCTATGCAGGGTACTATGAGTCCGAACCAATTCAACGGCACTTAACAAAAACAATAAGGAAGGCCAGTTAATGCCACTCTTCTTCAAACTTATACACCAACCACTAAAGCCAGTGATGATGAAATTGAAGAATTCTACCAACTTCCTCAGTCTGAAATTGATCAAACATGCAATCAAGATGTATTGATAATTACTGGAGATTGGAATACAACGGTTGGAAACAAAGAGGAAGGATCAGAAGTTGAAAAACTATGGCCTTGGTTATAGAAACGATGCTAGATATTACATGACAGAATTTTGCAAGGACTTGTTTGTTGTTTGTTGTTAAGTGCTGTCGAATCTGACCCTGTATGAGGTTTTTGAGGAGCGGACGGTAGGTTTGAACTACCAACCTTGTGGTTAGTAGTCCAGTGTTTATCCTATAGTGCCACACCTTGTTTAAGCAGCAGAAGAGATGACCATACGCATGTACTTTAACCAGATGAAATACACAGAAATCAAATTGACTACATCTGTGGGAGAGACGATCGAAAGCTCTATATCATTTGCCGAAACAAGGCCAGGGATAGACTGTGGAACAGACC